TTTTGAGAGGAACAGGTTTAGGGAATTTACGGGATGATTTAAGATCACCTAATAGGTCCAGCTCAGAAAAAAAAAATTGGCTAGGAATTATGAACTTGTGTAAATATCTAGATTAATTCTTACTCAGCTTCATACTTTAATTACTATACTCCTGTGACATGAGTTTATATGACTCACCGATCTCTTACAAAATTTCCTCTATTATGGCATTTGAGGCATGTTCAAGGGACTTCTAATTGAAGAACCTGGTTCATCAGTATGGGTTCATGTGAAAGCTAAGGTATGTTTTCTATGCTCTCCACAAGTAGAAATATTAATATTTCAATCATGAGCAGAAGTTCTCTAATTGTTCAATTCCTAGAAAATTCTATCCGTTAGCATTGAACTAGTTCTGTTTGCCTAGAACTCTAAACCGAAAATTTTGCCTAAAATCTAGGGAAGGTAAACCGATCATTCAAAATATGGAATTTCAGGTTGATTAGACCTCTAATTGACCACTGCTAAAAGTTGTTGTTACATATTAAATGTGTATTTCTCTTTAAATATACATCATTTCTCTTGCCATATTCATAATTCCAAACCGTCAAAAATTCTTTTTCACCTTCACTTGCCCTCTTCTCCACAACTCTAATTCCCAAATTAAACCAACGATCATGACCAACCCACAAGACAATCCTGGAACTCCTCCACCACCATCTCCCTCAAATTCATCCTCAAACTACTCCACCCAGTGCATCTTCAAAACCTAGACTCGAAGGGTGAAAATGCTTGCTCGAAAGACTGTAGCGTCTGGGGCTCTGAGGAAGGCATTAAATGAGAGGTTGAAAGCAAGCCAAGTGAAAGCAAGCCAAGCTCAAAACTCCGACTCCAGCTCTGATTCTGAATCCTATCAATCCACTACTGAGGGGGAAGGACATGGGTCTTCTGACTCTGAAAAGACTCAAGAATCTCCTTCTAAGGTAGGTTCCTCTGTGACTGAAAACCTAGAGACTAGGTTTGTTCTGGTTGGACCCATTAGGGATGTTGAATTGCCTGAGATGCGAAGGTGTGGAGGTAAAAAGAATTTTGATAAAGAAAAAGATATAGAAAGGATGCATATGGTGAAGAAAGGGGAAGTGGGAAAGGAGTAGTGCTTGCTATCTGTGGGGTTGCACAAGAAAGGGTAGAAGAGAGTGGCATGAAGTCAGGGGAAGTGGTTCTGGGGAAGCTGCTGAGGGGTTGGTTCATCTGAGCACACAGAGAGATGAACCTGTTTCATCTGCTGAAGAAACCCTAGCAGACCTGCTGAAAAAGGTTGAGGCAAGCTATGACCCAAAGAAACGCAGAACTCCCACATCAAAAGCCCCCAATGTTCCTAAGCCTTCCAAGAAAAGAAAGGCTTCATCCCCAACACCTACTGCCTCTTCATTGCAAAAGGGAAGAGCCACAAGAAGCAGGGTGAAACAGAGTGAAGCTGAGCTACAAAGGGCTTTAGCTGAAAGTAAGAAATAGAAAATGGATAAAGGAAAGGGAAAGATTGTAGAATCCTCAGAGGATGTTGAGGAAGAGGAGATGGAACTGGTCCATCAAGAAAGGGGTACATCAGTGGAGGTTCCTACCCCCAAGCCCAAAAAGCCCAAGACTTCCTCCAAGAAGTCTTCCTCTGTGTCTGAGGTTGTTGAACCTACACTAGCCAAGAGGACAAGATCTGCAGTGAAAAACAAACAATCAAAAATTTCTGAAGATGATGACTGGAGTGGAGAAGAAGAAGAAGAAGAAAATGATTCTGAGAAGGAACAGGATAAGCTTGCCATGTTTGGCAAAAGAAAGATTTTAAAGGGTAGACTGCTGAAAGACCTGGTGGAACCAGGAATGATGAGATTGGTGGATGCTTTAGCTGCTCAGGGATGGAAGGACATGGTCCTTTAGATGGATGGTAGGCTAGCCAGAAATGAGCTAATTGAATTTATGGCAAATGTTGCGGTTCAGGAAGGCATTGTTATTAGCCTGGTGAAAGGAGTCCAAGTGCAGTTTGATGCAAAGAAACTGGGAGAAATCCTGGATATACCCTCTGAAGGGTTTGATAATTATACAAGGCAAAGGTGGCCCTGCCTGGACTCCTCCCTACTGCTCTTGCAATCACCTGGAGATTCTGTGATTCAGAAGATGTGAATGAAGCCAGGGCTGTGCAGAAAAGTGAAATGAGGCCTGAGCACAAGGTCTTCTTTGAATTTGTCAACAAATGTCTATTTGCCAGACAGGAGAGAAGGCACATTGCTAATTACATGGATCTAGTTCTTATGGAGTGCCTGGAGAGAGGAAAGCAAATCAACCGGCCTGTCTTCATTATCAAGCTGCTAGACAGTGTCATAAATGGCTCCAAGGCTCATGCTACTCCATATGGCTTTATTCTAACCACAGTTCTGGACAGACTGAATGTGCCTCTGAAGAAATAGGAAATGGCCTCGAGCAAGGAACATTTTGGCATCAATACTCTTCTTGCTTGTGACTATTCAGTCACTTCCATCCCAAATGAACCTGGTTCATCCTAGAAGACACCCATCAACAGCAAAGTTAGGGCTCTGGTTCAGGAATGTGCAGCCAAGGATGCTGAGATAGCAAGGCTCAAGGCTCGCGTGATTGAAGTGGAATATGAGAGGGATGGTCTCAGAACTGAGCTTGCCAAAGAAAAGGAGAAGAATGATGGAATTCTTAAGAACATGCTGAATCTTCTCCAAACTCAAACCCAACCCTCTAGTTCCTCTAAGGCTTAGGACTCCTAGCTCTTGTCTCCTGAACTTGTTTAGTACCTCAGTGACCCAGATTAGAGATTTTCTATCTTTTGTTTTTGCCCATGGTTTGGATGTTCTTTTTTTCTTTTTGTGGATTGTTGGTGGCAACATATCTCTGTCAATGATAACTACTGTCTTGCTCTTGTTTAATGATTAATATGTCCTTGATAGTTTAAATATGTTTGCTAGATTACTGATAATTGCACCATGATTGCACTTGCAGTTGCCCCAGTGGCCATGAGTACTTATTAAAATCTGGGAATCACACTTTGTTTGCAACTTTTCGATGATGCCAAAAGGGGGAAGAGACATTATGCTTTGCACATTCTGAAATAAGTGATATTTATAACCTAATTAACCTGGTCCTTGATGATAAGTGAATTTTATAAGTTTAGTATTGATGGTTAAGCTGAGTTCTTACAGGTTCTAAATCAGTGAAAAGCACAGAGTTTGTCATCATCAAAAAGGGGGAATTTGTTGGCCCAAGAACAGGTGAAGTTTTGAAGAATGACAAAAGGACTCAGTCATGGACCAGGTCCATCTTGTGAAGCACTGTCATGATCAATCTATGCATGTGAGATGCACGTGAAAGAGATAAGTCCTACTGAACAAGCAGCAATATCTCCTGATCTGATCGAAAAGGTTGCATATTAGATAAGGGGAGAAAGTCTCCTTATATGAAGAGAACACAATCTAGGATGAAGATAGTGTTAGAGTTTGAGATCATCATGAATTCTTCCACGATAGAAGAGCAGCAACTGAGTCCCAATCAAACTCTGATTGCAAACCTATTAAATGTTAGTGTTGTTCTCTTTTACAGGTAATGCACATATGCAGAAGTTAAACTAAATTGAGAACAAAAGAGCAAGGCGATTTTGCAAGCAATTTATGTGTGAACTCCTGAAGCTACTTGAACGAGATAGAATAACCAGTTACATTAAGTCTATCTTTTATTCTAGTTCAATTGTAGTAGGTGGTTTAAAATTGTACCTTTCAGCTTTCATAGAAGCAATTGTATTAGGTACCTAGAGTGTTCAAGTTATAGTTAACTTGAAGTTGTCGCAACAGTTGAGGCTGTGTGCCACAACAGGATTAGAGTTAATCCTTAGGTTTACAAAGAGTTTTTTTAAATGTTGTTTTGGCTCAGCGATTTTAGTAGAAGTTTGGGAAAATCCTACTGAGTAGTAGGTCGTGGTTTTTTCACCTTTTGAGCCTAGTGTTTTCCACGTAAAAATCTCTGTGTCTTTTATTTTCTGTATTTATTATTCCGCAAACAGTAGTAGTTGGAACACCTAGAAGAACCAGGTCCTTCCATAAACAACTTAAGCGAAAATTAGGTACCACACAAATCACCCCCCCCCTCTTGTGTGGTATTGACGCTTAAAACATCAGTCTTCTTCCTTGTAAAATCTCTACATCGGGTGGTTTTGTGATCTCAGATTCTACATTTTGTGGAATATCCCATGATTTTTGATCTCCCACGGTATTCACATGTCCTTCATATGTTTTCAACCATGTTTCCTTTGAATACCAATTTGAGCAGTAATCAGATTTCTGCAAATATATCTTATTAATAGCAACAATTGCATGTGGACAGGGCAATTCATCAAGTTGGAATTCCGAGCAGTCACAAGTTCTCTTCTTTAAGTCCACAATGAATTCGATTCCTTCACTATTTATTCTAAACAAAATTGAATCACGGTTGAACACCTAAGAAGGAATAGAAAATCAAGATAAACTATATTGTTGCTTCAAAAAGAAAAAGTATGAAGTTTTTTAAAGTAAGCAGTAAATCACTGCAACAGATATAAAAAGCTAAAGTTAATAAATATACTCACAAACATTTTGCAAGACAAGTCCATCTTCTTAGTCATCTCTTCTTCTGCCCATATTGATACCCTGTGAAAAGTTTCATTTGCTTTTTTTCTCCGTTCGTAAAACCACTCTCCCAACTTTTCTTGGATGACATCTAACATTCTTAAATAGGCATCTCTCTCGCTTTTAGTAGAACATAATTCATTGATTCTACCATGTTTGTTGTTAGCATATCATAACGTCGCCGTGGGAACCACGATCGAGCCCATCTCTCTGGAGGCTCTTCCGTTATGTAATTGTATGTTTTCTTCTCAACACTTTTGAGTTGGGACATTAACTGATTAAAATCTTCACGTTTGTATGACATTGCAGCACTTTGAAAAAGATTTATTACCGTGGCTTTTACATGTCTTTGCTTTAAATTTTCTCAAAGTGATAGAGGCAGATACCATGGTGAGCTTCAGGATAAACTTTTCTAATCCCATTTGCGATCGATTGGTTTCTATCTGACAAGAAAAATAGTTCACGACTAACTTGAATTGCTTTTCTCATTTGCCCGAAGAACCAAATGTATGACTCATTGTTTTCTGACTCTGCTACACCAAAAGATAGAGGAAAGATTTGATTGTTTGCATCCTTTGAATCCGATGTGTTTTGAGTAATATGATGTTGTTTGAGGTGTTTTGATGATTGGACAAGTTTGAATAAGGTTTTAGGATATGTTGGTGCCTTAGGTTGAGGTCCCGGGGGCCTCGGGTGAGTTTCGGGTAGTCATTCGGATTATTTTTGGAGTTTGAAAGTTGCAGATTTTCGTTCCAGCAGTTGCAGGTGTTTTGGCCTCCGCATTCGCGAAGGGGAGCTCGCGTTCGCGAAGGGCTGGGTTTTTGTAAGCTACGCGTTTGCGAGAGTCTAAGCCGCGTTCGCGAAGGCTTATGAAGGGATCTCATCGCGTTCACGAGCGGGTATACGTGATCGCGAAGAAGGATTTGAGTCAGATGGGTCCAAGGTAATTTATTCATCTCGTTCGCGTCAAGGTGTTCGCGATCGCGAAGGTGTAGGTAGAAGGTGCATCGCGTTCGCATCTGGCATGTCGCGTTCGCGTAGAGGAAAAATCCGGTCAACGTGAGTTTGTGCTTCGCGAACGCGAGAGTTTGACCGCGTTCGCGAAGAAGGGTAGTCAGACCTGGGCAGAATGTTTTTAAGTCGTTTCTTCCGCGATTTCGAGGCTCATTTCCTCCATAATTGGCAATTTTGGGAGCTTTTTGAAGGAGATTAATGAGGGATTCAAGGAGAAACGTTTGGAGGTAAGAATTTTGGACCTAAAACTTAATTCTATTGTGAAATCTACCTAGAAATTTATGGAACTTGGACTAAAAATGGAAGAGCTAGGGCTTGGAATTTGGAATTTTGATTTGGGATTTTGAGGGGTCATTTGGACTCCGATTTTGGTGTTCTTTATATGCATAGACTCGTGGGGAGATAAGGAAGCCGTTGATGTAAAAATTTCTGAGTTTCGAGAAGTGGGCTCGGGGCTCAGGTTTTGCTAATTTCGGGATTTTTGGTATTTTTCGATTGCTTTCGCTTGGGCTTTGTTCCCTTGACATATTGTGACGTATTCGTTCCGATTTTGGATAGATTCCATGCACGTGGAGGCCAATTCGAAGGGCAAAGGCGTCGCAAGCTGGGGACTTAGCCGGTTCGAGGTGAGTAATTATTGTAAATGATGTTCTGAGGGTTTGAAACCCCGAATTGCACATCGTAGTGCTATATTGAGGTGAGGCACACGCTTAATGACGAGTGTGGGGTCGTGCACTATTGGAGATGCGACTTCGTCCGTCACGATTGATGATTTTATCGCGTATTTGATTGAAATCTATTTGCTATCATCATTATTTGGGTTGTATGCAATATTTGGGCTCCGTACCAATTATTTGAACCCTTCGGGGATTGTTGTTGATGTTTCCTCACTGTTTTGGCTTTATACTTGAACTCAGTCATGTTATTTCCCACTATTTTCAAAACTCAGCCATGTTTACTCTATTTTAATACTCAAATGATATTTAAATGATGTTTTGGGCTGAGAAATACTGTTTTACTGTTGCCCGAGAGGCTTACGGGATTTTTGACTGAGTAAGGCCGGGGGCCTGTGTTGTGAGGATATCATTGGGATCGGGCTGCACGCTGCAGCGGTGATACACTGATTTGATTATGAGGCCGAGGGCCAGAGATTGTACGCCACGAGGTGGCTTGATATTGATATGAGGTCGAGGACCTATTTATGATGCCATGAGATGGGTTGTTATTGCACTTGGGCCGTAAGGGGGCCCTCTCGGAGTCTGCACACCCCCGGTGAGCGCGGGTACCCAGTGTGATGTGTGATTAGCCCGAGGGGCTGGTATCGTTCTATGTGATTGCCCGAGGGGCTGGTACTGTTCTATGTGATTGCCCGAGGGGCTGGTACTATTCTGAGATATTGCCCGAGGGGCAGATTTGTTGATATGGTGCCCGAGGGGCGAACCTTATGTGCTTATCTTTCTTATTTGCCTGTCATTTACTTGCTTAATTGTGCATTTGTGCCCGAGGGGCGGATTTCTGTGCATACTTGCACTAGTTGTTTTGCGTTCATTTGCGCAACTATTGAAAAAGTCATTTCCAAAAGAGTTTAAACTGAGCTAAGATGTTTTAAAGGATTTTACAGCTTCATTGCTTTCTTACTGGATTTTGAAACTGCTTCTATACAGCATGTTGATGCTCTTTTCGTGATTTCTTATCACTCAGTCTTTATTTATGATTATTACTCACTGAGTTGGCAGTACTCATTTTTACTCCCTGCACCTTATGTGCAAATTCAGGTATTTTCTGAGCTTGGTGGCAGTTGTCAGTGGAGTTAGCAAGGTAGCTGCCGGCGTTTGCAGCACTGCTTTCTCTCTCGCCATTCTATTAGACTGTACTGAGTACATTTCAGATTTGTCTGTTGTATTAATGGTATATGCTCATGACTAGTGACACCCCGATATCGGGCTGTGGTTGGGTTGTACTTCCGCCTTGTTATGATATTGTATTGCTGTTTAGCATTATTAAATCATGTTTTAGCCTATTGTATTGCTGTTTAGTTGTTTAACTTCGAATTGGATATGTGTCGGCTGGCCTTGTCTTCACGAGAGGTGCCATCACGACCGGGTCTGGGCTTAGGATCGTGACAAGTTGGTATCAGAGCCTAGGTTACATAGGTCTCACGAGTCATGAGCAGGTTTAGTAGAGTCTCGCGGATCGGTACGGAGACGTCTGTATTTATCCTCGAGAGGCTGCAGAACCTTTAGGAAAACTCCATATTCTTGAAATTCTTATCGTGCGTCCTTGATTCAGCTTGAAATATAACTCTTTGAACTCTTTCACGCATTTGTATGCGCGAAAGAGCGCTCAGTATCAGATGTGCATCGATGGCTTGTTATCCCCTGATTGAGGGGCGAGATGTGATCTCTATGTGCTGATGTTGGGCCAGCCTGGAGGGCTCGAGGCCGGATTTTTGCCTATAGCTTGAGCACCGAGGTGCTGATTGGGTGAGCACGTGTTTTTGGATCTATGTGTTCTATTGTGTCCCTATTAGGGGAAGTAATGGATGGATAGTACGTGATGAGAGTGATGTGACTGCGAGATGTATTCATATGATTTAGTAACGACGAGAAAGGTCTGCTGGAGGGTGGAAGATCTATTAGGTGCTTGATTTCCGTCTTGATTCGAGTTATAGCCCCGAGTTATGGGTGTGTGGAGAATGTTTTCATGTCTCCTAGTTGGGAGTGAAGTAAACTTCATGTTGCGATGTGAGTCCAGACTCAGGAAGATTAAGTGATTGCGTAATGCTTATGACAGTGGAAGGTATATATATAAATGTTAGTTTAAGGCAAAGCAGGTGGGTTATCTCCTGCGAAGTGTTTTGAGGTTGTGTGATCCTTATGTTGTCGGTTAGAAGATCTCAATTACAAGTGAAATATGTGTGTTGCAATTTGAATTTGAGCTGCTTAAGAGAATGGGTTTAATTGTTATGTGAGTAAATGCGAGATCTGCAGAAGATATGAAGTACCACATGGTCTGTGTTCCACGAGCTTATGAAGGATTGAGTTAATCTCACT